GACTTCAAGCTCGGCGCCGAGCTCATTGGCGCGCGCATTCTCAAGGGCTGTCCGAAGTGGCTCGTCTTTGTCGAAGGCGTCAACGCCCAGCACACGGTCGTGCTCGACGGTCAAGAATTTGGCTACTACGACTGGTATGGCGGCGGCCTCCAAAAGGCCGGCGACTACCCGGTCGTCCTTCCGACCGCCAACAAGCTCGTGTACGCGCCGCACTACTACAACCCGGCGGTGTTTCCGCAAATTTACCTCGTGGGCGGCGGCAAGACGCTTCCGAACAACGCAATCACCAACTACACGGAGCTCGACGACGAGAAGCTCTTGGGCCGCGTCGGGAAGACCATGCACCACATGTTTGGCTACCTCAACGACGGCAAGGGGCCCGCGGTGGTCCTTGGCGAGTTTGGCGGCCTCTACACGCAGGATCTGCACCCGAAGAAGACGACCCAGCGCTGCTCCGAGTACACGATCAAGACCATGGTGAGCGAGAGCTATGCCGGGGGGTATATGTGGTGTCTCAACCCCGAGTCCGCGTACCAGTACAACCCGATGGACACGCCGGGCAACTACATTGAAGGTCTCCTCAACAAGGACTGGCGCTCGGTGAACGCACCGTTTCTCAAGGCCATGAACGGCATGGACGCGTTCCCAGACCTCAAGATGACGCCGTGCTTTCCTACCGATCCCTAGTCAGCTTACTAAACCAATACTAGTACACTTGTAAATCCTAGTGCTAGTGGTACGATCACTTCGTTCTGGTGCGCATCTCGTGGCGCCGCGAGACCAGTGTGCCGGCCTGCGCTATCGCTTCGCTTTCGTCAGAGAGGGAAGCTGCTGGCTTCAAAGTCGAGCACAGTAGACACTGGTGAGCTACGTGTACGTAAAGCTGGGGCCGCGCTCAATCCTTATTGTTTTCAAAATGACTCCACCTCGTTGCCACCGTAGGTCGCAGTACCGGGACAAGTCGAGCGGCAATAGACTTGCCGCATGGACGACGATGCAACCCGATTACTTCTCACTCCCACGAAGGCGCGAGCAAGGGACTACCTGTATTACTTGCTTGGTCACAAGCTCCTCGCTGGTACTTGTGGTTGCTGTGCCATTTGCAATGCGCTTTGGACTGGTCCTGGCAGTCTTCTTCGTGTCAAGCTCCGCGCCTGTATAGACACGACTGTAGGTTGCGGGACATGTGGGTCGACACCACAATTCGCCTGCGTAAACACCATAAACACACTCGTTTGGACGACGACGAAGCATGGAAACGAGCTGCTACGTGGATCCAATGCTTGGACCCTTGGTAGACCCCAAGGCCATAGCGCTTTGTTGCAGCAGCAAACGCATAACACTAGTCGTATGGCATCAGCTCTCGCCCACGTGGCTACGCAGCGTTTCGCCCACCACCGTTCGCGATCTACGAGTACCAAAGGGCGCAGTCGCTTCCTCTCTGTCGATCGCTGACGCCATGCGTGTTGCTATGCAGCGAAACCACTTGAACGTGCTGTCACCGACTTGCCGCTCGCTTCAACGTGATCGCTATGTGGTCTGAGGCGCCATTGCCATACGCTGCAGACACTGCAATGACGGCCGCTCGTACCTCGATGGACGTCCATCGACGAGAGGATGCGCTGCCTCGTCGTCGTCGTCCATGTCCTTGCAGTCACTCTCCGCCCGGCCGATGGTAGCATGGACCAGCGCCGTCGTCAAGCGCTGCAAAAACAAGCCAGGTCTTTTGCCATTGGTCAAAAAGCCAGATCGTTTTGGACGGGCGTTCCAATACGCGTCGTGGATTGGCTATAATTCCAACGCGAATGCTTGTGATTGGTAGAAAGGCAGCGCCAGTAATCGGCAGTGTTTACATCTGCTGAGGTCCTTCGACGCCTTCCTCACTTGTCGATATTCCAGCAGCAGCAATATGGACTTGGTGCTCGCGGCCGCGGACGAGTACGTCCTCACGCCGCACGTGTACCCGGCGTCATGGCCGGCCGACGACGTCTACCGCCAAGCCATCTCGCTCTTCTTCATCACGATGCTCGGCGGCTACGTCCTCTACCTAAGCTTTGCGACGCTGAGCTACCACTTTGTGTACGACAAGGAGTACATGAAGCACCCCAAGTTTCTGAAAAATCAGATCTGGCTCGAGATGAAGGTGTCGTGCTCGGCGATTCCGGTCATGACGCTATTGACGCTGCCCGTCTTCCTCGCCGAAGTGCGCGGCTACAGCTTCCTCTACGACGACCTCGACGAGTATGGTTACCCGTACCTTGCATTCAGCATCTTTTGTTTTATGATGTTCAACGACATGGCCATCTACTGGATCCACCGCTGGCTGCACCACCCGCTCATCTACAAGCACGTCCACAAGCTGCACCACAAGTGGCTCGTGCCGTCGCCGTTTGCGAGCCATGCGTTCGACCCGCTCGACGGCTTTCTCCAGTCGACGCCGTACCACATTTTCATCTTTCTGATGCCGCTTCAAAAAGGTATGTCGACCAGATCTTGTGCTATCTGGATTTCTCACATTGCACACATTCTAGTCGTGTATCTGGGCCTCTTTGTGCTTGTCAACTTTTGGACCATCTCGATCCATGACGGTGACTTTGTCATGGACAAGATGCCGTGGTGGTTTGAGAAGATCGTCAACGGCGCCGCGCACCACACGGACCACCACTTGTTTTTTACGGTCAACTATGGCCAATATTTTACGCTCTGGGACCATCTTGGTGGCTCGTACCGCGAACCGAGTCCGTTCACGGGCACCGGCCCCCTCGACGACGTCAAGAAGATGAAGGCCAAGGCCGCGTAAACACCCTATTCTTCAATACACCACCATTCTGCATTATGGACCGCATCTCGACTGCTATAGCAACATCTTGGCCGTTGCGAACGAAGCGCGATGTGGGCGAGACGCTCCACCTTGAGCTAAGCGCTTGCGGCTTCGGCTAAACTCGACTCGATCCGGTGGCTAGAACGTTCTTTCGTGGCGTCTCCAAACGACGGTACTCGGCTTTGCGACTGCCCTGCATTGCTCGGTGTGTATAGGGTTCTGGCGACTCATTGTTGCTGATGGATTAACCAGCTACATGTATGAACCTGGCGCGTTCCGTGCGCCACGCAGATGCCACCTCATTGTACAAGCGCAGAGGCGACGGCGATGGTTCTAAACCGTTGATCTCATTCGAGGGTATGAGAGTCGAAATGGCAAGGACATGGGCAGAGCTCTTCCAAGCGTCTCCTGTAATTGTACGCGGTGGGACTTGAGCAATTCTTTGGCTTTTTGATAATGAGATTGTCTGGATCACTGGTCAATCAATCCGACTGGCACACATGAGCAAGTCGATATTGGCTAGACGTTTACAGCACAAACGCGTAGCTTTCTTGTCGTTGGGTTCGAAGCCGTGCATTGTCCGTCATATGAGGGTTATACGTATTATATGTATATTAGCAAGTCGCGAAGGATGAGATAAATAAGAGTCCGCAGCGAGGAGGTCGCTTCAGAGCAGTTGCAGTAGCGGCGCTTGGGTATGCAAGAGGCGCTCGAGCGCCGCAACCGCCAAAGAGGTCGTCTCGGGGTCGCAGAGCGCACTGGCAATCGAGAGGCCGACAAAACATAAGACGGCAATGATCGGTGCGTTGATGGCCATGATGCAGATAAGCACCAAGGCGACGGCCGACGCGAGCTGCGACGCTACGTCCAGGAGGAGGACGAGAGGCAGCGGTAGGGAGGCGTTGGCGAGGTTGTCCGACATGATAGAGGCGTGTGGTGGGCAGTCGAGGCGGCAGGAGCAGAAGTGGCAAGCCAGCTGCTACCTTCAAGAACCGCCATCGCCGCGGGCAATCAGATCTGGATCGTAGCGGTTGCGGCAACATGGATATTCCACCAATCCCGAGGCGCGATTCCGTATCCAAGTCACGGATTGGTTGCATATTGAATCTTTTGTACCCAATCCACAGCCGCACAATGTGTAATCGAGCAACAATTGGTTAAAATGCAATTTCGATGCAGAGAGCCGACAACCCGTTTGGTCTTTGGCCCCGTGGCCATCTCCTGGCGACGACCAGCGACTAGACACCCGCAAAGAATCAACAACAACAGAAGGAGCTGCGTAAGACGCCACGATGCCCATAAGCGTGCTCAGGTGTCTCTCAGTGCCCCTTGGACGCACCGTACGACGCAGTAACCCTGTCGAGCACTTGTTGAAGAGACGCTACACTCGGCTTTCGTATGCATATTTATGGCCGCGCACCTCGATTGCATCTCGTCCCACTGTGTGGCGACGCGCCGCCTTTGCGACGACCAGACCCCACCCCAGCAAAACACTTCCTTGGTCATTGGGCTGCTACTTGGTGCGACAAAGTCGACAACTCTGTTGCTATCGCAGTTTCCCAACCAGATCCACGAGACGCGTCCAGATCCAATTCTAGTTTGACCAACGTGCCAAATCTTCTTGCGAGTTGAAGTTGCCGCTCGACCTGATACCGTCCACATCGAGCGAGAGGCGACATACCGGTATCAAATCAAGATCGTGTCCCTTAGCAGCACGCTCCGTCCTCTCGACGACAATATGTACAGTGCTTTAACTAGCATTTTCTACTTCACCAATGCTGCTTACTCTACTACGCATCTACTCTATCGCATACACATGTCCTTAGCCCATGGTTTCGTCCAAAATGTTGCGGGACACGGGCATATGCGGCCGCAGCGGCGCGCGTCGCGGCAACTCGTTGATGGCCAGGCCTTCGATCGCACCTGCGTCCACCGGGGCGTGGACGTACACGCGCTGTGCACCGCCAGACACGTCGGTCGTTGATAGTGGGAGCATGGGCACATTGGTTGCAGCCGCGGGCAATGGCAGCACCCACTGCTGCCTCTGCACAAGCTCCAGGAGCGACCGCAGCACAGGGCTTCCTGCGAGCGTCGACGGTGACCCGACGAGCACGAGTTTCTTCTTGGCGCGCGTCAGCGCTACATTGATGCGCCGCCAGTCCAAAAGCAGCTCGCCAACCTACCATGGTCTCGTCTGCTGATACATTGAAACTTTTGCATGCGTACCGTCGGTGTCGCATTCGAGCGGACAAACGACACGATGATCGCATCTTTATCCCGGCCTTGGTACTTGTCGATGGTTGAAATCTAATTAGTATCAATCTATCAACACCGAGTAGCAGCTTGAAAGATGCTGCGATACCTCGACGGGCGGGCCGTGGTGGTGTGTCTGGAGGTAGTGGACTTGGGACCGGAACGGAGAGAGCACACCAATGTCTATGGCGCCCGCTTGCTGCAGCGCACGGACGACCTGGAGCACTGCGCTGGCTTCCACGGGGTTGACGATGCCTTTCGACTGCCGGGATTCGTGCAAGCCCAAGGCATCCGTGTCTAAAAACACTACGCTGACGCTCGGCGAGAGCACATGGCTCAGCCAATGCGGTAGCGGTAGCGGCGACAGCTCCCACGGCGCGATATGCGCACTCGTCTCGCCGCACTTGAGTTGGTGGTTGTAGATAAGGTCGTTGCAGAGCAGCATGATATCCGGATGCATGCGGTACTGGTACCCGAGCTGGACGCTTGCACTCGGGTGGGCCTCGCCCAAGCGTTTAAAGAGACTTACGTCGAGTCCGCCCAATTTCGCCTTGAGCGCCGTCACCAGTGGCGGCAACTACATCCTTCCACCATATTACCCTACCCACGACAGGAAACACCGTGTACCTGGTAGTGGTCGCCCACCAAGCAAAACGTATCGGCGCACCGCAGTGCACCCAGCAGCACGGGCTGCGTGATCTGCGACGCTTCGTCGACGATGCAATAGTCAAAGCGCCGCTTCGAAAAGAGCACATGGTTGGTGCCAAGGCACGTGCAGCCGACGAGTGTCGCATTCACCATGACAGTCTCAATCGCCGCGGTCGTTCGCAGCGGGTGGCACACAGTCGAGAGCAAGTGAGGCTGTAGCCTTGCGTGCACTTGGTCTTTCGAGCCGACGCGGAGCATTGGCACGTTGAACTCGAGCAATTTCAGCAGTAGCGTATCGACGGCCGAGTGCGTATAGCTCGTCACGAGCACCGAAAAGCCCAAGTGCAGCAAGAGACGCACACACATGGTGATCGCCGACGTCTTGCCTGTGCCCGGCATGCCGAGGATCAACGCATAGTCCTTGGCATGGAGCACCTAGCCTCTTGCTTGAGAAACCAAATCGAAACGACGCGTTCACACCTTTTCAATCGCACGCTGCTGGTCGGGGTTCATGCGTAAGAAGTCGTTGTAGAGGGCTTCGTAGCGCGGGCTTGTCGGATGCGCGATCGCATGGGCTTGGAGCATGCCCAGCGTCGTCGTAGGGGCTAGAAACCGAGGCGGTTCAAGGCGGCAAATCAACTTGCGCCGGACGTCGTCGCCGCACTTGTCGGTCTCGGGATCGAGGGGTGGTCGAAGGAAGCGGGTCGGATGGACGCCGGCCGAGATACCGTGCGGCGACGGGCCGACAAAGAGCTGCGCGAGGTTGCGCTTGGCTTGCAAGAGGCCCCACGACACCATGTCCTTGTCCATGCGCCAGTGCGGGTGCGCGCCCACGACCGAGTCGCCTTGCAGCACGGCGCGTGAGATCGGCGCAAACAAGGCGATTTCAATGTCTTGGTCAAGCAACGCTAGTGTACATCATGGCCATATAGTCATTTCTTTGGCCATTTCGTTGAACTTAGTACCTGTGATGCGTCCTTTGGCTGTATGGAGAAGCAGAGCGGCGTCCGACTCGCAGCTCAAAATGACGCGATCGTCGACGTGAAACTTGAGATCGGTCGAGGCCAGTAGTGTCCGAGATCGCAGCCGGAGCGTCTTGGGCGTCACGTTCGCGAGGCTCAAGTGCAGCAAGCACGAGCCATTCGCAGCACGGTCGTCGTTCGAGTTGAGCCAGAGCTGCTGGACTGCGGTTTGGCTCGACCGGAACTCGAGGTCCACGAGCCGATTCCACGTGGCAAAGTACGCGCGCTCGTCTTGTAGCAAGTGGGTCGTGTGCTTGGCAAACACATCGACGGCGCCACTAGAATTGATACATTGATACAAACAAATCAAGCAAGAAAAAACCTGGTCGCCGCCGTGCCCATCTCTTCGGACGCGTGGTGAAGCATGCACTCGGCCGCCGAGAAGCAAAAGCCGCAGTCGCGCGGCTGGCGGAGCATGGGCGGGTACACGCTCTCGCCTTGGTACTTGGCCATATTGGCGGCGTGCTGATTCCGTGCTTGGAGCAGCGCACGGGCGATCGGCATCTCGCGTGCAATTAACAGCGACTCGGTCTCGAGCAGGTATAAGAGGAGACCCTCCGAGCACTCTACTCAGGTTCAAACTCCATGAGCAACAAATAAATCAATAAAATCCGACGCTACCTCGGTACCGCTCTTCGAGAAGGAGCGAGTACAAGAGGACTTGGCCGTGGTGCTCGGCGAGCGCATACGCCTTCTTGCCGGTCTTGAGCTCGAGCGGTACGATGGTCTTGCGCGTGCCGTTCTGGAGCACACGGATTGTCGCGTCCACCGCGCCTTTAAGACCATATTTGATTGACCACAGCGGCTCCTCCGTGGCAAGAACCGCCTCGAGACGCAGCGTCGCGTTGCCGACAACGACGCCGGACGTGTGGAGCTTTTGCAGCCAGACGTGCATGCTCTGGAACGACGACCTCATTTCTTCGGCCGCTTGGGTCTCGGTGATGCCCGACTCCAAGCACTTGAGCAGACTACATGTTGCAAATGATCAAGTTGATACGTTCTTGATACAATAGACCTGTCTTGGATGATGCTTTGGCTTTGCTCAATGAGGTACGGGATCGAATGGTAGCCCGACTGCAGCGCGCGTTCAAAGAGGTCGTGCTTCATCGTACCCACAAGCGCCTTTGCACCCGACGGCTGGTTCATCGAGAGCGTCTGCTGGAGCACCGCCATGCGACCGCAGCGGAGACTCGACGTCACGGCGGTCGGCGACACCTACTCGGATACATGGATACTTGGATAGGTTGGTTAGTGTGTACGAGGATATCGGGGTGCACGATCACGAGATGGGCGGCGTTGCTCGCAATGAGGGATGACGACGTACGTGGCGTTGTCCAGATGAAATTGAACGTATCGCCGATGACGAGCGGCGTGCCATACCAGTCGTCGGCCAAGACGACGTCGTGCACGATAGCGTCGTCGTCGATGGCGCGAAGCAGCAGCTTGCGCTGCGCATGGTCCGTATGGGCTTCAAGCGCGACGAGCCGAATGTAGTCTGTGGGCTTGGCGCGCACTGGCGTCACGGGCGCTGGTGGCGCGGTCGTTGTCGCCGTATCGGGCGCCACAGGACGTGCTGGATCTCGACCTGGACCGTCTTGTACGTGTCGCTGTACGCTGTGAGCGGGCATCGCAGGCATGGCAGGCGTCGTCGTGGGCGGGCGCATGACTTGATGCAGTGGGTTGCGTGGTACGACCGCGGGGCTCATCCCAGAGCGCGGCTCGACGATACGGGACGGACCCATGGGGCTGGCATCCAGTGGTCGCGCCTGCGCTTTCTGGTCGCGCTCGAGCATCTGCTGCGTGGCCTGGATCTCCATCTCTTCCAGGATGCCCCATGCTTCTTCGGTAAACTCCTCGTCGTCCATGTCCACATCGGGCATGGTACTGGTCGTCGCCGGTGGCTCGGCAGGGGCGGGTGCGGGAAGCGTCGTCGGCGGGCCCTTCTCGGGCGAGTCGGCGTACGCATCGTCCATCTTTTGCAGTATCGAGAGCAGGTTCTGGTCTTCGTCGCCGCCGCCTGTCTTGCGCCGCTTCGAGCGGGCTGGGGGCGACGTAATGGGCACGGTCGGAGGTCGGAGATGCTTGTCCGGGCTGAACGCGATATGGCGTGTGATGCCATCGGGTGCGCCTACGATCTTCTTCTTGAACTTGAGCTTGGAGGTTTGGCTCTTTTTGTTGGGCGACGGGCTCGTGATCAAGCTCGTGACAAAGCCTTGCAGCTCGGTCGCGTTGACCTGCGGGTTGCTGGCGCCGCTGGGCTTGAGCTTCTTGTCGCTTGGCGACTCCTTCCAGACGACGCCCATGGCCTCGTCCTTCATGGGCGACGCGCCGGCGACGTCGTCGTCTCCGCCAAAGATCGCTGCTCGCTCCATCGGGATCCGGCCGGCAGGATGAGGACGCGAACGCAAGTGCAGTCGTATCCGGACATCCGGATATTACCGTTCACCTAAAGGGGTGGTCGCGCGACCCCACTTTCGAAATGAGATCTCAAATGCCATCGCATGGGCCGCAACGAGCGCATATAACTGCTATAGACGCAGCGCATCGACGATGGAGGTATAGGCTCAAGGGTTTGCAGCAGCCAACGTACGTGGATTCTCTACTGGACGCAAGCACAGCAAATGAAAACGACCAACTCTCAGAAATTAAATACAAGGGGTGGCACAAACACCCCCTTTTGTGAATACAATTTCCGCAAGGTCAAAAGCACACAAGCCGCAGCATGGCACTCCAGCTCCGGTACCCCGAAGAAGCCGACTTCCACTCGCGCACGTTCATCGACGACGAGGAAGCGCCCGCGCCGACGCTGGCCGACGCCATCTTCCGCGTACGCGAGCTGCCTGCCCACCCATCCTCATGCATCATTCTGGCGTAGTGGAGTCCGAGCGTGCGAGCGGACCTCGCGCGCCGCAGCGAAACCTGCTTGACGCCAGCGCGCTTGATCGTTGCGACCGGCGCCGAGGCCACAGCGTTCGGCAAGACCATCTCGCAGGACGCGCCCGTGCTTGGCACGCTCGTTCTCTCAACGACGCCGATTGTACAGGCCTCTTGCATCGTCGTCACGCACCAACAGCATCCTCCGTAGGCGCACACCACCTTTGGCGCTGGGCCCGCCGCGGTCTGCGCGCTATTGGCTCTCACGCCCGAGACGCTGCTGCTCCTCGCGCCGCTCGAGGTCGCCGAGCACGACGTGTGGACGTTTGTCGATGCGCTCTTTGCCCACGTCGCGCCGCAGGAGGTCGTGTCGTTGAGCGCGCTCATGTCGGTCACGTACGACGCTACCTTGCACGACGGCTGCGTACTCTACCAACTCGCCTCGTCGTCGTCGTCGCCTCTCTCGGTACGCATCTCGATTCAATGTCGGAGCATCACCAAGATGCACAGGACGTGCCCATGCTGTCGGCGCCGCGCTTCGTGACGGGCATTCCTGCCGCGCTCCTGACCCACGTACGCTTCTCGCTCTCTTGTCGTCATATGCAGTAACGCTGTTTCTAGTGCACCCTTCGCCGTCGGCGCGCCGCCGTGTTTGTCTCGCTCCAGCACCCGACCACATCGCTGCTCGAGTCGACGCGCTGCTTTGGTCCGCTCCAGACGCACCTCGGGCTCATGTCGGTCACCAGTACCAAGCGCGTTGACGACGCCACGACCAAGTCGTTTGAGAGCTTGTACATCTAGTCGGTACTTCGATCCTCGAACAACTCGTAGTTTTTGTTTTTAGCACAATTAAAACACATTGCGTAGTCGGTCGTTCTCATCGTGCAGACGTTTGTTTTCTGCGATGATGGCTTGGAGCTGCTTGGTGACATCCTGGAGCGCCTTGGTCATCTCCGTCTACATTACGAAGACATGGGATGTCTCTGGCTGCAAGAGGCGACAAGTACCTGCTGGGCCTGGTGCTGCCGAAGCACCTCCAGATGCACATTGGCAATCTCGTCCGAGAGCGCTTGCTTCATCGTCTCGAGCTCGCGCTGCAGCCACTGCTGCGTCGATGTATCAAGCTTGGTCGACGGCGCATGGTCATGGCTTTGGTTGGTGGTGGGCCGCGCGTCCGACAAGACCTACCGTACACGAAACGTTGACGACGACGAGGTAGGAACACGTCGCACCGGTGGCACGAGGGGCGACGACGGCAGTGACGACGAAGTGCTGAGCTCCTTGGGTGTCGCGAGGTGCTGGAGCGACGACTGCATGCCCTGCATACTGAACGAATGATGTTTCTTCATCTTGGGTCGACTGTACGGATCGTCCATGCTGCGCACCTACGGCGATTGAAAATGTAAAAAAAAAACGCGGCTTGCGAGGTTCGAAGCGGGGACCTTGTCAAGGGACGACCCAAACTGAAGAAAGTTGACACTCTCGGGCTTTTGCGCGTCGATCACATGCACAGAGAGCGGTTTGGCCGTCCGACGCATGTCGTACAGCAGAATATGCCCTACAATATGATAAAATCGATAAAAAATCATGGCGGTCGGCGAGGATCGAAGTGGACCTGTCGACGTGCCCGTCGCGAGCGAGTGGCCGTTCGAGTAGAGCGAGATGGACGTGATCGGGTACGGTCCTTCGAGGCAGTTCATTTCCCTAGCATCGTCGATGTATGTGTCATTATCGACAATGGTGTACTTTTTCTGGGCAATATCGCAAAACACGATGCGCTTGTCGAGGCCTGCAGTCGCAACCAGGTTCTTGCTCACAGGTGAGAAGGCGAGCGACGTCGCTGGCGCCCAGTGCTACGCATGTATGCATCCTGACCATAAGGAAAGCATGCGTGCGTACGAGATGCTCAAAGCTCGAGATGACCGACGCGGTCGCTGCATCCCAGACCCGCAGCGACCCCGAGCCGTAGACGGCGCCGACCTTGTCGCGGACAAACGGGTGTGGTGACGACTGGAGGAATTGAACCGGCGATGTCTACCCAAAGCTAAGTTTGCCATGTTACGGCAAAGCACGCGACCTCGCCGTCGACTTGCAGGACGTTCGACTGCATGCCATTCTGCGTGTACAGGTACACGACGCCACTACATAGATGCATCAGACGAGGTGTAGCGAGGCAGCCGCCTACGCTTCGCTGCCGGCGACGACGTGTTCGTCGCTCTGGCCTGTAAACGCGAGCGTCTGGATCGAGCTGGAGCACTCGGGGAAGACGTGCTTGAGCTGCTGGTGCTTGAGGTCCCAAAACTAGCAAACACGAGAGTCGCGCCGTAGACGAGAGTGCAAGAGAACGTACGCGGACGACGCGGTCGGCGCCGCCGCTAATGAGGTAGCGGGACCCGGCGCTGAACTGGACGGCGTTGATGCGCTGGCCATTGCATGAGCCGCGGATCCAGAGGCAATTCGATGAGTGTACCTTGTCGGGCGACGAGCCTTCCTGCAGATTGCACAACGACGGCTCGCGCGCGGTGAGCGTGTTGATCGAGAGAAGGCCGTTGGCGAACGCGCTCGCCAGGATACGATCTGCACGCAGCATGAGCATGGTGGAGGAGCCATGAGGCCACCGTACTGTTGTGGTTCCAGACCGCGCAGGTCGCCGTCGTCTCGCTCGCGCTGCTGATCTTGCGGCCCTCGCGCAGGTTGCCGCCCTCGACGTCGAAGATGCTGACGGCGTTCCCGGCCGCGGCCGCGAGGAGCATGGTCGATGCTGGGGTTGCTGGTGTTGGTCGTGTCCGGATACCGCCGGAAAAGCATTGGCTAAACGCACGCCACCAATTGGCCTCGGGCATGCAAGCTCAACGCTACAGTTCGGTGCGTTGGAGTGCCTTCATCGAGCCAAGATGGGCACTGATGCCAGAGCAGAGACAGGACCAGAGATTGAAGACCGTCGGCCGCAATACTATGATTGACGCTGTCGCTGCACAGAGTACCCGTTGTTTCTATTCGCACGCAACTGGGCGACCTTGAAATCAACACGTTTCCGACGTATTTTACACTGGTGAGATTGCTTTCACACCCATACAAAACAAGAGCCATATGGTTTTCAACGCGGTGTGTAATATTCTGTTTTAAACAGTGAAAATAGCAGCTGTATAATACACCCTCCATTTCAAAATGGCGTAATGAATCTCGCGCTCACCTTCCTGTAAACGGCCAATATATATAGTACCGGTAGCAAGCGTCGCTCCTCTTAAGCTGAGCACCTCCGCGATGTCCACGTCTCAAATGTGCGCGCGTCTGATACGACTGGTGCTGGCGCTTACTTTTGGCGCGCACCAGAAATAAGCGGCCACATGCCACGATTAAGCCACGTAAGCAATGCCCGTCAAAGAACGCGTGTAATTCCTCACGCCGATGTTGATTGGTGCATATTTTTATCGGCGCCAACATATTGGCCAATGGCATCGGCGCGTCTGGCGGGGCGGCCGTCGGTGGCCCCATATTTAGAGTCGCGTCCAAGCACCGAGATGGCCGAAGCGCAACTCAACACGATCCGGAAGCTCGAGGCCAACAAGGCCTGCGCCAACTGCGACGCGCTCGCCAAGTTTGGCCACTCGAACATCTGCGAAAAGTTCAAGACCTTTGTCTGCAACAACTGCAAGAGCGCGCACCAGAGCTACAGCCACCGCGTCAAAGTACGCATGACCGTCGCCTTGTCAATGCCATGACGAGCAGCATGATGATTAGAGCGTGACCATGTCCAATTGGACGAAAGACGAAGTCGATGCGCTCAAGGAAGAGAACGGCGGCGGCAACGCCGTCGCGCGCCGGACGTGGCTCGGCGCCTACGAAGACGGCCGCTCGATGCGCAAGCCGACCGAGTCGGACCACGTCGATGTCTTCAAACGCTTCATCAACGCCGTGTACAATGACCGCGCCTTCTTCGCCGAGGGCGCGCCCAGCCGTACGCCAGGTAGCACTCACACTCGTCGTATCTCGACTGACCATGAGCTTGATGAGTAGCGCCATCGTCGACCGCATCGTCCTCGTCCTCGTCGTCGGCTCGGAAAGTGAAGGAAGCACCTGCAGCGCCCAGTACGTACCCATACCGACTCGACGAGGATGCCATAGTGTGATCTCGTAGGCGCGGACCTGCTTGGCTTTTCGCCGCCAACGACGCCGGCGTTCGAAGCCTCGTTCGAAGCCTTCTCGGCCCCGGTCGCGCCGGCCTCCTTTGAAGCGTTCTCGGCGCCGGTCAAGCCCCAAGTCGCGTCGCCAACGTTCGATGCATTCTCGGCACCTCTCGCACCCGCCCCGTCGTCGACGTCGTCGTTCGATCCGTTTGGGTTTTCGGCGGCGCCGTCGTCATCCTCGTCGACGGCGTCGTTCACGCCGACGCCGCCGTCGCTCTTCAACGCACCAAGCAGTACGACGACCTCCGCCAACACCAACAATGGCGGCCACTGGTCGGCGTTTCAAGGCGCGCCGGCCGCCGACCCGTTCGCAGCAGCGATTCCTCAGTCGCTCAACGCAGCAGGCATGCCGACTGCGTATTCGAACGCACCCATGTCCGGACCTCCGTCAGGCGGCCACAGCATCAGCTCGCTCTTGGCCCCAACCATGGTCGCCAACCCCCACGCCGGCTACGGCCAACCGCACACCGGCTATGGTCAACCGATCACCGGCTACGGTCAACCGCAGGCGCCGTATGGCCAAGGATACCCGTCGCAACCGACTGGCTTCGGCTACAACAACGGGTCCGCGCAAGGCTATGGCCAGCCACCGCAGCAGCAATATGGGCAGAGCTACGGCGCGCCCCAGGCCGGCGGTCGGGACCCGTTTGCAGGACTTGCGTTCAAGTAACGAATGTAGTACTTTCAACTAGATTGACGCAGCACGTCAGAGCAGCTCTCTCGCAACGGAACGTAGGGCTAGGTATAAACCGGTACTTGCTAGTGCGAGTGGAAGAGCTTCGTACAACGACTGGACACTGGATTATAGAAAAAAGGTTGATACAATGTTGATAAAAGTATTGAGGGTTTGGCCCTCAGATGGTGTTGCTAGGGGTAGGGTAGTTGGAAGGTTTCATCTGCCTCGTCACCCCTCTCAATGCAGACAAGATGTACACAAGATGTAGCACCCGATGAGGCAGCTGCCTCGTGGCAACTGCTTGTACGCGGAGCATTGCAGAGTTTGGTTTGTACGGACTCGATCGCGTTGGCGTTGGCGAGTATCAAGTTGATACGAAAAGGCCGATCTGCGTTTCTTTGTCTACTGGCGCAGCTATAAACTATTATATTAACGAGATAATCCTAGTCGTGGTCGGTACTCGGCGCGTCGAGGAGCTGGTTCTCCTCGGACGGCGGCGACGACTCGGGCAAGAAGACGTTGATGACGTGCGACGACGCGCTCCCGACGCTCGTGCGCAAATGCCGGTAGAAGAATGAGAGCATCGGCACGTTCTCCAAGACCGAACGAATGTCCCAATGGTCCGTGTGGGAAATGACCTAATAATGTGCAGGCTAAATGCGTATGTTCGGCAGGATCGAAGTCTGTACCTTTTGGTCTTCGAGCTCAATGACCGTAAACATACGCAAGGCGCCGCCCATGTACTCTGGGAACGGCTTGAGCTTGTACGTGACCGTGCTAGCACAAGATGTCGATGAGCCTCCGCCCCAGCTGGTCGCATCTACCTGTCAATCGTAAGGATGCTCACGCCCGCCATCGAGCCGCGGATCAACGTCGCATGCGACTGCGCGACAAACGACGGCAAGACGCGGAACTGGGCGGCCACCTTGTCGCGGCCCGAGACTAGACGCGCATGAGCGGCGAGGCCATGGCGGCGAACACGAGGGTACCTTCGACCAGCGGGTCCGAGAACGTCGCTTCGGGATGGTACAGCTCCTGGATGATGGCGTCGACGTTGGTCGTGCTGTCATAGAGCGAGAGGATCTTGAGCGTCATGCGCTGGGCCATGCCCATCTCGGGCTTGCTGCCGTCCTTCCCGTTCGCACGTCGCTTGGACATCATCTTGAAGCGGCTATGTATAGAGGTGTGAAAGCGCAAGTTGCGGCCGCCCAGAAGCACTGTGACGACCGCACTTTACCGGAATTTCTCCATTTTACTCAGATGCGCATACAAACACTCAGTGTATCGAACCAGGCGGTTGAGAAAATACGCAAAAATTCCCCCTAAGTACGACGTCGCACCCGGATTCGTCAACAAGGTGCGACTGCAGAGAAGGACGACGGCGACGCGGCCACGGACTTGCCGCTACCGCTTGCAGTAGCCATGGCAGCGATGGCGATGGCTCGCGCCATGGCCCATGGCGGCGACGGCGTGGCATGGCCATGCATGCCAGGCGTCTTGTACAGCCTTTGGCGGTCGAGCAGCGGCCAGCAACGCTGGCAGGCCCACAGAGACGTGTGTCATGGAGCCGACGCCAAGCGCATCGTAGCACTCTGCACTGTATCTTGCTGCGTTGGGGCGGGATGCCACTATTGCCGTGCATGTCTCTGTCAATGGCTTCCGCGCGCCTGCTCCGCTCTCCGCGAGATGGCATGCGGTACCATTCCAAGAAGTAGTTGGATCTCTATTCCTGTGTACATACACTACGTGGGTCGCGCTGTCTACGCCGGCGACGGTGGCCGCTCGCGGCTGGCGGTAGCGACTTCGAGGAGTAGACTGAGGTAGTCTTCGCGCTGCTTGGGCGTCGGCAGCTTTGTAAAGTCCAAGTGCGACACCTGGATCACGGTCCAGCCTTCTAGCTGGATGTGGCGCATCTTGAGCAAGGTCGAGCCCATGAGCCATCTACGCCAAGCGACAAGACTACAAGGGACCATAGACTTTGGCAGGTGTACTGCTCGGTCGGGTTGCGCCGTAGCTGGTAGTGCATCGGGCCGTTCACTTCAATGCCAATCTTGGCGTCAACCAGCGCAATGTCCAGCGAGTACCTAATGCATGCAAGGTCCATGCCTGCATAGCGCTCGTTGGAAGCGTACCCTTGGGACAGCACATGTTCGTTCGCGTGCTGGATCTGCATGCGCTCCAGTGTCGTCGAGATCTGCCGGTGCAGATGCGACGAGATGTTGGTGCGTTGCTAGTCGGAGCGTTAGGCACGAGTTGATACGTTGATACGAAACAAATCGACCTGCTGCATGAGCTTGGCCTTGAACGTCTCGAGCGTCGCGTCGGGCAGCCGTGGGGTACCTATACGCGACTGTCAAGATCATAGTCATTCGCAATATAAGACTATCGCACCAGGCCAGTTTTCGAGGTGGACTTGGTACACCTGGGTTGCAAAGGCCATGCTCGGGCTCTTGTGCGTCCTCGCTGTCTCCAAGAGCTGGGTGGCGACGCCGACATGCGGGACTTGGGCGACCGCGCACGACCACGCGAGCATGCCGAGGAGCTCGGGCGTCAAAACCGGGTCCGTCTGCGCAAGGACATAGTCGCTCACACGCGTAAAGAGCTCGGGCAGCCACGCCTGGGCACTTCGATCCTACGAAAACCCGTGCTTTTTCACAGACGAAAGCTTGAAATGAATGGACGCTACCGCGGCGCAGAGCGACGCAAAGCCATGCAAAAGATGCACGAGCCGCTCGGGCGTGATGCGATCTTGGTCGAGGCGGTAGAGCACTTGCTGTGCGAGGCTCCTATATCGAGAAAAATGTCAAAATTCGGGAAAATTCGGAAAAATTCAGAAAAAATAGGAGCGTACGCCATGACGCCGGACGGTGCAAGCTGCAGGCCGATGAGCGACTTCATCAAGCCGTGGAGGAAGCGCGACGGCACGAGATGCAAATGCATTTGCACGTGCCGCTCGAGCTCGTCGACAAACGTCCAAAACCTACCCCTCGCATAAGGAGGCCTGGACAATAATGGACAAGTTGTCTGACGGACCGTGTCGAGTAGATGAGCATTGTATCCAAATGCAGACGTTGGTACTTGGAGCGCTCGAGTGCAATGAGCGTGTCGTCGTCGTCACTGTCGGACGACGGCATCGACGCCATCGCCCCCATGCGCTTGCGTTTCTATTGATATCTTGATACAAAGAATGGCCATATCGATAGGACATTCTGTCCACAATCCTACCATGGCAAAGATCTCGCGGTGCGTCTGGATGTGAAACATGGCAAACCGCTGAAACGCTGTAAGGACATTGACGTGGTTGAGCGACCGCGGGTGCTATGGTGCGGGGAGGAGGCTGTTCATCGATCATGCGCCATGGAGGTAGCTACCTGCGCTTCCATGAGCGAGAGCACTTCGGCGCCCGACTCGGCGAGGAGCAGCTTGGTGTTGAATTCTTTAAAGTCGGACGTCGGGTCCTTCTTGGCCGCGCTCTGCGTCGTGTCGTGGTCCTATGAGATGTCGGATGGTGCAATACGACTACTCGTCCAGTTGCGAAAATGAAAAACGTACTTGGCGAATGTTGAGGACCGATCGAAGCTTGGGCGACGCCGTCAGCTGCGCCAGCAGGTCGCCCCATCTACAAGGCCATGGTACCATCCTTATCGGGCAACGCGATGCTCTTGACGTACGACGAGAAGCGAATCAAGTCCGAGGGCAGCCCGGACATGGACACAATCGGGCTGGAGCCGAGCGGCAGCTGGAACGAGACGTTCTTGGCCGAGAAGAGCGTCGCCTCTTGGCCGCGGACATTCGCGCGCGTCGCAACGTCTTGGTCGCACGCGCAGCAGCGCAGCTTGGCGTGCTTCCAGGGCTCCTTGGGCGACCGCGGGTGCGCCGCCGTCTTGACGTTCTCGAGTGCAATGTTTTGGAAGCTCGCCACGTGCACGCCCTTGAGCCTACGCGCCGGCTAAATATGGTCGGCGCATGTGGCGTACCAGTTGAGGAAGAAGAGGTCGTGCGTGGCGACGAGGACGTTTTCGCACTTGCCGCAGACTATCGACATTGCTCCATCATGAGGCGTGGCATCAGCGGACGTATGCACCGAGCTTGGCGGTGCTCTTCGTCGGCTTGGGGTACTCGCTTCCGAGCAGCGACCGCCGCTGGGTGCTCAAGCTCCGCCGCAGCAACATGTTGAAAGCAGAGCAATTCCGTTTGGACCAATCATACGCGAGTCTGCGTGGACGCTTGCTGATTGGCCCATCTCATGTCAATCGTAGTCGACGCCCTTCGACTAACTAAACATCCACGCACATCAACACGACGCCACGTCACAACTTTAGCCACCGCAAGCTGGTGGCGACCGCCATATCGTACATGGGCTTGCAGCTGGCCTTTATGACAGGGGCTTGAAAAGGCGAGAGGTGGAGCTGCATGGATCCACCATCCCAATATGCCAGGGTCCATGACCTTGCTTGATGGCACGCATCGACCGCGGGGACATGGCCGGCTGCCCTCGGCAACCTTGAGATGCAGGAGCGGCAAGGAACACGGAAGAATCCGAGGCAAGCGACAAGGGTCGCTTCGAGAAGCCATGCGTCGTTCTGCTGCAGCTGAAGTGACGAGGAGCCGGCAACCCTTGCGTCCAAGGTTGCAACTGCTTGTCAAGGGCCTTGATACGCTGCTGCCGACAGTCTGGGGCGCGGTCGCTCGAACAAATATCTTGAAGCTGCTGACGACAGTGACGCGATCCTTGCACGGTTGCCCGCTGGCGACTGATGCGACTGAATGAAGGTCGTCGGATGCGCCTTGTCGTCGTCGGAGTAGTAGAAATGAAGGGTATTTTATGGTTTATAATAAGGTCTCGCATGGAGAGGTGGGCTAGCAGGCTATTGAGGTTGGTATGGTACAGGGGCATCGGGTGATGCGACGTGTGTGAATTTTTGTCGATGGAGGGCCAGACCACAAGCGGGCGTCCATGCAGAGGGCGCGGTCGTGACGTTTACGGGCAGCTCTCGGTCAAGCTCATGGCAAACACGTCGAGCTGGAAAAACTCGCGCACGAGGGCGATGGACACCATGTTGTCGCGCTGGAGGAGGTCGACGCACGCCGCCTCGAGACGCTCTCGCCGGTCTGATAAGACCGTGTCTTGTGTGACCTTGAACCACGTCTTGGGCGGGAGGTCCATGTGGATCTCCTTGAGCTGCAGCGTCTGCGCGAGTAGCACAAACTCCGAGTAGCGCTTCTCGACCGCCCACGTGTGGTACGGCGTCTCGACCACGACGTTGTACGCAATGTACCCCTCGTCCATGTCGCGGAAGCTCGGGATGCTCACCGAGAAGGTCGCATCCGGGTCGGACGCATGCGCCTTGATGTCCTTGGGGCTCCAGAAGGTCTTGCTGAGGAAGCGCGTGCAGACGCTCGACGCTGTCGGGCTCGCGATCACGACCACGTCTTCCTCGTCGCCATCGTCGTTCGCGTCGCTCTCGTCTTCTTCGACGTCCGTCTTCTCGTCGTCATGGGCGTCATCGGGCTTCTTGGGCATGCTGGGGGTCGTCTTGGAGCTCGTCGTCTCGGTCGTCGGGACGAGGGGGACGATGAGGAGCTCGTCGAGGGTCGCGGCCTCCATGGCCTGCTGCAGCTCGAGCTGCTGGAGCTTCTTGGACTTCTTCGCGGAGCCGCGGGCGCGCTTGCTGCTCTGGATCGTGCGGACCTTGTTGATCATCGTCTTGGGTACTTGGTGGGATATTCTCGACTGCGGCGTCGGTTCCGCGTGCCACGAATATCGAGTTCCAGAGGTCTTCAAGCAGCCGAGAAAAAACAGGAGAAGCGTCTTTTTTTTCTTGTCGGATGTTGCATACAAACACACCGTGCTTATCGATCGAATTGAAGTTGCGGAAATTAATTTCAAGCCGTTTTCGCGTACCATGCAACTTCAAGCGGGCTCGGATGTATCAAATGCTGCAGAATATCCAAAGAAAAGGGCGACTAGAAACCTCTCAGAACGCATTCGTAGATTCTCGCGCCCAAATTTTACAGGTTTGTCCCAAGATCGGTTCTGGGGCAAACCGTGCCCGGGCGCACGGGCTTGAGAAGGCGAGTAGTAGGCCAGCAAGTATACCGCCAGCGTCGCAATTGTGGGCTCTTGAACAAGCGTCTCGACATTGAACGATGTCGTCCTCTCGCAGGTCTACGAGGTTGTCTTCGAAAGGAAACCTCAATTCCTCCCGTCAACCATCACGTTGCGGGACCTGCCGACTGCGTTGTAACCCGCATATGTGGCTAGTCGTGGCTTGACGAGAGCTGGGACTTGGAGTTTTCGCGCTTGTTTCCAGCAATATGATGGTTTCCAGCGTCGTTTCCGACATTTTCATTTGTTGCATATTGCATTCTTTTCTCAAATTTTCACATGAGAACAGAGGACGAAGATGTCGATGCTCAAAGGAGAAAAATAGTCGTGAAGATACTCGATGCTGCTTGGTTCTTCTGCAAGTCCGCAACGCCTCACGCAGAGGTAGGAGAGATATGGGGTCGATCGCGTGTTGGGACAATTGGGACAAACCCTCGCGGAAAGATTCGGTTGCCGTCGTCGGGGCGCGTATCAAGATTCAGTACCTCTCAAAATACATAGATCGACCTATGAGTTCTTAGCGGTGACTGCATCCTGTCCTGGAGATTCGACAGGAGG